CCAGGACAGGCACTGGCTTACCAAGAAGCGTGAGCCCAGAGGAGCCCCAGGTCCCTTCCTGGTAGCTCAGAGGGAACTGCCTCTTGCCGGCTCCTGCACACACTGCCTCTTGCCAGGTCCTGCACAGCCTGGACCTGCACACCGTCCATTGGGTCAGCTCTGGATCAAAGAGTGGTCTTGGGAAGTAGGAAGTGACCTTGGTCAGGACCATATCTGTGCAAATGAGCCCACTCAGGGAGGTAAATGGGGACATTTCATTTTTTGATTATTTGCCTTGATGTCTGTCTCATGTTATCATTAGGCCAAAGGCCATCTCAGGTACATGCTTGCCAGGTCATCTTTTAGTTTTATTTTTTAAATTCTCTTTTTATGTAAATTTTAATGATGTCTGGGATGCAAGACCAAATGGCCCACTCTGCAGCGCCGAAGGTGGGCAAGAGGAGAGGTCAGAATCTGGCATAAGACTGAAAATCACCGTGGTGACCAACTTCAGAGTGGGGGCTGGGCTGGGCTCTGAAGGAGAAGTCTATTGTGTTCGCGCAGCAGACAGGAGTCTGTAGGGTTCCTGCCCAGTCGCTGACATTGGGAATGGGCTTCAGAGGCAGCATGGGCTGCTGTTGGGCTGGCCTAGGGGACAAGGGAGGAGGGCAGACGCCTGAAAGGCAGAGCAGAGGAAGGGCCTGTAGCCATCAGGGCAGGGCCACCTTCCTAAAGGGGCTGGGGAGTAGTTAGGGTCAGAACAGGTCAAAAGAACAGGAACGAAGGCAGAGACTAATATGGGTTTGTGGAGCGGAGAGAGAATAAAAGGAGGAGAAACCTGCAACTTGTATACTTAGGCTCATTATTAGGACCCCAGGTTGGGAGCTGATTGGCAGCAAGAATACAAGGAAAGCCGAGTAATTGCCCTGGCTGCTGGCAGGGGAGAGTGACTTAGTTCTCATGGAGAGGAGTGCTCTGAGAGCACCACCCGGACAGAAGTGTAATGCACACACCTGGTTTCTGCCAGTTATCGCTGTGGACCAGTCTCCTTATGTAACTTTATGACTCGATCATTGAGCAATGAACATGGTTATATTTGAAAAGATGAGCCAAGGTCATGCTTATAGAGCAACGCTGGCTTGTAATATCACCAGGTTAATTTAACATGGATGAGACCAAAACATTTCTTTACCATCCAGGAGTAAATCATCCTAGGCACGGGGAAGAGATGAAGTAGGAAAGTTTCTTCTGGTGCCTTCCATGTCTGCATTTGGGGACTCCATTTAGCTCCCATTTCCCTGCAAGTCTCACAACTCTCCCAGCCTGTGCCTTATTCTCTCAGGGTCTCCATCCTTCCTTTAGTCTCCCTCCCTCCCTCTCTCCTTCCTTCCTTCCTCAAATACTTATTGAGCATCCACCACGTGCCAGGGGTATAGTGGACAGTCTCTTCTTGCACAGATCTTATGTTTCAGTCAGGCAAGCCATGCTACCAACAAACATGTGATCATTGAACATATCAAGGGGTAGAAAGTGCTGCCCAGGAAAATGCCACCGGGCAAGGGGACAAGCAGGGCAGCCAGGAAAGATCTATGTGACAAGATGACCTCTGAGCAGAACTTGGACACAGCGGGGAGCTAGCCATGCAGATATGCCAATAGAACAGGCAAAGCCACAGGCAGCAGCCGTGTGGGGACCAGGGGCTGAGCGGGCAGACAGGGCAGTGGGGACAGAGGTAACTAAAGGTCAGATCCCTTGGTAATAGCTGGTTGTGTCTGATTTAGCTTCAGGGATCCGTTTTCCCAGTGTAAATTTTCTTAGTAGCTTCTTAAATACTGAAGAAGCATCAAAACTAAAATGAAGGCATCTGAAGTGTCCTTTCAAGTCTGGGGGAGAAATGTTTGAACGAGGGGCCCCTCTCTTTACACCCCGCCATGCGTGTCTGCCTTTCAACACTTTGCTTCCCTTCCTCCTCTCTAAAAATTGCTTCCAGGCTGAGGAGGCGGGGGTGGCAGGGGAAGGGGGACTTCCTGCAGCAGGAACAGAAAACCCCAGACTGCTGTCTGGCAGTGGCCTCCTCCCACCCAGCACCGGTCTCCAGGGAGGGCGGCGAGGCGGGCGGGAAGGGGTGACATGCCAAATGTGGCCGGGGCCCAGCTGCCCCTGCCCTCCTCATGCTGAGCCTCATCTTCTAGCGTCTCCAGACCCCTCAGGTGTCAGCCAGTTTATCTTCCTGAAGCAACGGCTGGCTGGAGGATTCAGGGAACCTTGAAAAGAATGTCCCTGCTGGCTCGCGGTAAACGCGGCTCTCACTGGCTCTCTGGAACTCTCTCCCCTCCATCTGCGGGGTTGAATCGCCAAAAAATGTTCAGCTAAGTTCGAGTGTTGAAATTAATTATTCACCATTTTGTTTTTCTACTGAGAACTGGGAAGCCAAGGGGCCAAAAGGCATTTAACATGTGGCACGGAAGACTTTAGTTCCAAACAGAAAAGTCAGTTGGTAGCATTTAGTCAAAAGAGAGAGAGAGTTCAGGCTTTCTTTCTTTTCCTTTTCCTTTTCCTTTTCCTTTTCCTTTTCCCTTTCCCTTTCCCTTTCCCTTTCCCTTTTCCTTTTCCTTTTCCTTTTCCTTTTCCTTTTCCTTTTCCTTTTCCTTTTCCTTTTCCTTTCCTTTCCTTTCCTTTCCTTTCCTTTCCTTTCCTTTCCTTTCCTTTCCTTTCTTTTCTTGACCAAATACTTGACTAAAAGTTCCATTTTAGTGAGGAATAGAGGCCTAGCACTTTGCTCCCTTACTACAAAAGCTACCTAAGAACATCTACTCTGTCTTCCTACTTAACATGTGTATGAGATGCCGAAACTCACCCAAGAAGCAAAGAAGAAAACATCACATGAGCAGCGGGTGTAGATAAAAATGACTCAAATCAACAAAACCAACTTACCCACGACGTTCTGTCTGATGTTCCAGCCTGGCACACCCTTGGCCTTACGTGCCCCACGACATCTTTCTGCCCTTGACATCCACCCTGCCTGCACTGTCATCCCTTATATCTTCCCTCACTTTGAGTTTTTTTTTTTTTTTTTTTTGCTTTTCTCACGTCTTGAGGGTTTATACTTTGAGTTTTTTAACCCCAGACTATTTACTAGATTTCTACCTTCGTAAGCTATCACCATCTCTTAGTGATTGCGGGTATCAACTCATTCTTGGTCACCAGTCATTGTTTCAGACTTGGCCTTGGTAATCACGCTCACTCCCGCCGGCTTACCCTCTTCTATACAATCTCCAATCATATCCTCCAATACTGACCCTGTTCCAACCAAGACAACTATTTCCCAGCCCAGCCAGGGGACTGACAATATAACATGGCATCGCTTGAAAATGAAACGTCTCATGCTAGAGGTGAAGCATTGAAAAGCAGGTGAGAATCCAAGATTTGGGCTGCCCTTGATGACGGTATCATTTTGATACCTTCTCATGGCTTACAGGTAGGAAGGACAAAGTGAGCCATCAGTCCCAACAGTAGGTATTTTTTTGATCATGGTTTGCAGTTTATCTTCTAGGGAACAAAATACCAATTTTAATGTTCCTATTCCATTTGAAGGCAGAAGCAAAAAAAAAAAAATACTCTAAGAAGTCTGATTGCAAGGAATCGACTTACATTTTTTCAGTGACTTGATTTTCTTACTGCCTTAACTGTCCCTTCAGCGTGATGTGCTTAGATCATTTGCCAGAAAGTCAAAGCCAGAGCTAAGCATGAGTGTAAAAGAAAACCAGGGAAGAGCACTTCTTATTCATTAATCCACTGGTTCAATCAATATTATTGAACACCACACTATGATTGATGCTGGAAATACAAAAGTGAGCAGAACCAGACACAATTCTTGATTTCATGGTCCTTCAAATTCAGTAGAGGTATCATACATGAATAAAATAATCATGGAAACTAATGCAAAATTACAAGTGTTATAAGTGCTACAAATGAGAGGTACATTGTGCCAAGGCAAGCATAAGAGTGAGATTTGACTTGGTCAAGGGGTTCAGGGAAGGCCTCCTACAGAAAAGGACAACTGATTTCAGCTCTGGAGGAGGAGAAGGAGTTAACCTGGTGATAAGCAGAGGAAAGAGCATGTCATGCAGGTGGAACAGCACAGGCCAAGACCAGAGGCAGACATGCTCCATGAAGTCAAGCACAGAAGCTAAAGGGCTGAGATAGGACCAGGACAACAGAAGGGCACAGAGTGAGGAAAGCACGGAACCTGAGTCAAGTGGGGCCAGTCCATGTTAATAATTTTTGGTTTTCTACTAAAAAGCAATGAAAGACAATTAAAGCCCTCTTAAACTCTCTTGCGCGCGTGTGTGTTTATTTATGAGTGTGCATGGGGGTGGAGAATTAGATTTCATTATCAGATTTTTAGATTTGCATTTCAAATGTATCCTCCTGGCTATGATGTGGAGACTGGGAAGATTAGATGTGCACAATAAATTCCTTTACAACAGGAGTTTAGCTGTAAAGAGAGGTAGATATTGGGGTAGACCCTGAATGCATCCTTTCATAGTGTGTGTTTGTGCTTAGTGTCCAAGAAAAGGGCAGGTAACTTGGCATCTGTGGCCATATATGTGGTCAAAAAAAAAGTCCAGAAGAATAATAGGATGAGCACCCCCCAACTGTGAATCCCAAAATCTAAAGGGAGAGAGGAGTTACAGTGCCACCGAGGCTGAGGCTCATCCCCAGGAAGCCTCCATGGGACAAGCAGATTTTCACTGTGCCCTTCCTTCCTATACTCTTCTTCCTCCTACTTCAAATCCAAATTTCTAAAAAGATAGCTTCTAGGCACCAAATTTCCAATGTAATTGGCCTCAAAGCAAAAAGGTTGTATTTTTTTTAAAGCAAGGAAAGTACATTTTGGTCATGTATATGTTTACAAAGAGCATTTAAAAAAGAAGTTTGAGGATGAAATTCTGCTACAAACAAAAGATCTGATTTTTTTCATTTTGTTTTATACAAAACAAGAAAATTAAATGTGAGTGGTAGCTCCCACACACACTAAGTGGTTTAATTTAGAACATTAAAATGCTCCTGGGAAACGACTAAACTTGTGCTCACAGAGCAGTTGAATGGATCCAACAGCACATCAGTTCCAGATGAGACTTACACAGAATGAAACCTAAGCAGACTGGCAGCAGCTACTTTGCACCAACCACCAACTATGTCCAGCTGCCTGCTGGGCGCTTTATAGCAAACCTTCACGGAAACTGAGAAGCAGGCATTATTTTTATAGATGAGCAAATTGAGACTTAGCCAAGTTAACAATTAGCAGCAGATCCCTCTGTTATAAGTGGCAGAACCAGGCTGAGTGCATTGGCCCTAAGGCCATGTGTCTTTGCTCCTGGGTGATAGGGCACTGTTGCACTTCTCCATCTCTTCCCTTCGTCAGCCTCCAGCCCAGAAGACTGGCCACCTTTGAGCTATTCACCTCTGTAGAAACCTGCAAGCATTGAGTGAAATTGTGAATTTGCCTGTAGCTAACTCCATGGAAGAGAAGAGCCAAGCAACTTGAAGCAATCTTGAAGAGTCAAGATTTCCAGAAGAGCTAAAGCTCGCTTGCCTCTCTCTTCCACAGCATCAAATAAGAGCCCCTATTGGAGAATCGGAAAGGACAGCGTCCGCTGTCTGCAATCCTGTCGGTGCTCTGGGCTTCGGCAACTGCAGTACAATGGGGGACAGCAAAGGACACTCGGGGCTCTGGCCACCCCTTGCCATCTCAGCACACTGGAGTTAATCAGGTCCGGGGCAACTTGGGAGGGCTTTTCTGCCACCAGTTGGGGGGTGGAGGTGGGGGAAGCCGCAGGACCCCTGGCAGGAGGACCCCACAGCCTGAGTTCCAGAATCCAGCTCCATTCTGACTCCACACGTTGCTAGGTGTCAGGTCGATGGCAGCCTGAAGGGCACATTCTGAAGCCACTTCTTTCCCAGAGGTCTCTGATTTCTTTCAGCTTCTTGATGTTATACTAAGAGAATATGAACATCCTCTTCTAGCAAATGCTGTATTTCTAAAAAAAGTTCACTCAAAAACTCATGTTCCTTTGAAAACCAAAAGAGAATAGAACAAGAGAAAGCAATAAAGGGAGATCTTCAAAACAGGCTTGATAATGACATCATTTAAAGCAACAGTCCCCAAACTTTTGACACCAGGGGTTTCGTGGAAGTTAGTTTTTCCATGGAAGTGGGGGGGCGGGGTGCCCCCTCAGCTCCCCCTCAGACCAGCAGGTGTTGGATTCTCATGGAAAGTGCACCCCCGATCTCTTGCATGTGCATCTTGCAGTGGGGTTTGTGCTCCTATGAGGGTGTGATGCCCCCACTAATCTGACCTGGGGTGGGGGGGTGGGGAGGGTTCAGGCAGTGATGTGAGCAATGGGGAGTGGCTATGGGTGAAGGGGGGGCTTTGCTACCTGCTGGCCTCCTGCTGTGTGGCCTGGTGCCTGGCGGGCTGCAGACTGGTCCCGGTCCACTGCCTGGGAGTTGGGGACTGCAGATCTAAAGGACCTGAGGGAAGTCCCAATGCTAAGTAGGTCTGGAACAAGGCACCTGAACTCTGTGCTATGGTAAACTGCATTTCTTTCAGCCCCTGGGCATGAAATCTTGAGATCCTCAGTCTGTGCTGAATTTTGAAGGCAGATTGGCATTCCTGGCTCTTCCCTGTGGTCATCACCCTGCTTCCTCCAGGACCCCAGGCCCTCAGCAGGGGAGGGCTCTCAGAGCAGACACAGATTTCCCAAACACACCACTGCGTGCACACGCTAAACTCTGAGGCCCCTCCTGGGGTGAGTGTTGCTCCCCTCACCCCGAGCCCACTGTGTCCTGCCCTGTCCTCCGCCCAGCCCTGATTGAGGACCCAGCATGTGTGCCTCAAACCAGACAGGCCCCAGAGTTTGGCAAAGTGTCCCCACATGCCGACTTTTGCGTCAATGGCGCCCGCCCACGCCCAGCATCTGCAGTGCCTTGGAGCATAATGAACTCATCTTACATATTCATGACCTCGCTGAGTTCATGGGCTCAAGGAGGCTTATTTTGTGTATTTTCTAATTTGTGCTTCCACTGGACGGGTTACCAGTATCCTGCCGCCGGGGTGAGCATCTACTGCCGTCGGGAAGGCTCTGCACGAGCTTCGCTGTAGTTATTGCATCTTTTGGCATTGTTCACCGGCCACTTGCCTGGGTTGTTTTTCCCACCTGTTTGGAAAAGGAGACACACTGAGGGAGGGCTGTGTCTCAGCTCCTTCTAACCTCAGCCCTGGTTTCAGGATCTTCCCTGTGGCCATAACAAAAGATTCAAAAACTTGCTGGAAATGTTTTAGAACATGGTAGCTTCAAAGGCATTCTTTGAAAGGACAGGCTGGCTATTTTGTGGCTGTTCTGGACTTGGGCGAGCCTCTCTGGAGGAGTCCCAAAGAGAGGGTGTTCCACCAGCCCAGGATGGTGGGAGGAAGATGGCTTGGGCACTGGTCCCAGATGGAGCAAGGTGGACAAATCATAGGTCCTCTGGAGACAAGTGGCCAGGAGGGCGTGGGTCACTGCTGAGCAGAGCAGGGGTCAGGTAGGTTGAAAGAAGGCACAAGAGAAGGACAGCTCCGTGTCTGCTGTAGTGCCGAGGCCATGCTTTGGTGGTCTGAAACCTGTCTGGCAGGAGAGGCTCATATTTTTTCTCTTTATGACAGCACAGTAGCACATATCTGGTGACATGATTAAGAAACGTGATACTTGAAAGTTGTTGACCAAGCACTACCTAACATTCTTTGCCCCATCCTAGCTGCGTGCTAAGCATCCAAGTGAACACTCATCCCTCATGGCTATGGCAGCCCCATCCCAGAGCCAGCGTCTTGAGCCTGGCAGGGTGACCGCGGCTCCGTGATTTAAACCAGAGAACCTAGGAGACTAGGATCTGTTGCTGTGTCAGTCTGGAGGTCGAGGGCTCTGGAGGCGCCTGACAGCCACTCTCTGACCCTCCCTGCAATAGTCCTTTGCTCCTCGGGTCAACATGTGGCTGGTGCCCAAGGCCCTTCCTAAGAACTGGGGACCAACTCCGGCGCAAGACATCTAGGAGGCACACAATAGCAAATGTGTGAGCTTTGCCTCCTTTTATTTTATTCTGGACCCATGTTCGAGCATGAAGCGCTCTAGTTCATAAAGGGCTTGACTCTTGCAGGAGTCAAGAAACTGTGGGTTAATGGCCAGATTGGGCCATGCCCACTCATTTACATTTTGTCTAATGGCTGCTGGGAAATCGCAGAGTTGAGTAGCTGCGACACACACTAGAAGGCCCACAAAGGCAGAACGTTTACTCTGTTGCCCTTTGCAGAAACAGTTTGCAGGCTCCTGCTTTAGGGTAAGATCAGAGTTCTCCTGGGGGAAAGGGGATGTCTTTGCTTTTGTGGATGCCTTGGCCAAGGGACCTGGTAAGGCTGGGGAGGGAGTCCAGCTCTCTGGTTGATTCTGTTGAGAAAAACCAAGTGGTCCAACTGGGATGTCATGAGACTTTCACCTTTTTGGCATCTGGCACATCCAATACTTCCATGGAGCTGGAATACAAGCGCCACACAGCAGGGAATCTTGACCACCGGGGGCCTCTCTAAATAAAAATAAGAAGAATAAGCAATGCATGTTTGTGTTTCATGTAAAAGAGTCCAGTTGCCAAGACTATTAGGCCAGTTATCAGTCACTTTGTCGTGGATACAGCAGTGATCACATTTCGATGAAACAGTCCTGTGCCTTCAGTCAGAGGCAGCTCAGATGACAAAATTGCAAACCCTTTCTCTCTGCCGTGGCTCGAGAGTTCTCAAATAACCTTAAATCCTGTTAAACTCCAGCATATTTGCCATTGCCTGAACCTGAGGCAAAATCTAAATCCAAACCACCATAGGTAATTGCCAGTATCACATCATATTTTTCTTAAAGAAGCATGTGTTAGCAGAGGATGATGGATTGCTCAGAAGTCATTGCTGCTGATGCCTGCGTTACCACAGTGTCTGGGGCAATGCTTAGAACTGGGCGAGGGAAGATGTTTTCAAACCCTGGCTTTGTGCCTTTGTGGTGGTTACATAACTGCCTCTTTCACATGGAGAATCACTATGAATGTGCTTCCTGCCGTTCTCTCATGTTGATGAGGCCTTTTATGTTCTAGAGCAATACTCTGGAGGAAAGAGGTTGGTTAAGATTAGTGAAGTGGAGAAGTGAGACATTGCAGCAAAATATTTATATTTATCTGGTTCCTAACAGGAAACCTTCATATTTTGTGGTATATGAATTAAAAGCTAGAACTTTTGTAAGATACAGACATTAGTATAGTAAGTCTTCGCTTAATCTTGTCAATGGGTTTTTGAAAACTGTGACTTTAAGCAAAATGATGTGCAGCAGGTCTACAAAGAATGTTCCCCTCAATGTTGTTTTGTTACAACATTGATGAGAAAAAAAATTTATTTCGTAATATGTTGTTTTACTTAAAGTCACAGTTTCCAAGAACCTATCAACAACGTTAAGTGAGGACGTATTATTGTATAATATCATTATTTTGGAGTTTAGTGGGATCTCGAAAGACCCTTTCCCACCAGGTAGACAGTTGCATCTTTTAGAGAGAAGGAGACCGAGGCTCACAGAGGCTGTGTAACCATCAGGGTCCCACCAATCCTCTCTTTCCAACTGCCATTAAATCCTTAGTCTGGCTGCAGAAAGCAGAAAAGATTTTCTTTCTTAGAAGTCAACCTCTTTAGACTACACTGACCCTGAAAAGAGAATTCAGAAAGCAACTCAACTTTTCATGCTCATAGTCACTAGCACAGTCCCTCAGCTATGTGACGAGAAAAATTTGCAGTAGGACTTAAAAAACAGAAATGGACTAGAACAACCTTTCTATGTCCTTCCTAGCACACCCCCACTGGGCGCCCGCACGGTGACAAGTGGCCACACTCGGCAATCCCTGTGTCTCCAGAGGTGCCCCTGGCCACGTCTGCTGGAACTAATTGTTCTTCTCCATCTGACCGTAGGCTTCCCGCTCTCCCTAACTCCCAAGATGACCCAGTTTCTGATCAGAGTTCCCTCTAGAACCACAGCTCATCCCTAAAAGCTCCTAGATCTGGTATAAATCCAACCATGGGAGAAAACAAAATTCAGTTAGAGACAACATGAAGGGCAAGCTTGAAAGGGAGCAGAGGTCACAATATGTGTGTGAGGTTGGACCGACTACAGAGTCATTTCCTCCCTGCCGCCTCCCCTTCTGGGAGAACCTTACCTTGTCTGCTGCCCCTGGGCCAACCAGGTGACCATGCCCCTGGACACCGATGATTGAAGTGGAAGTGGACACATGACCCACCTTACCCAGGCAGTCCTCTCTATCTAGAACTTGGAGTTGGGACAGCGAGAGCCTGAGGCTACTGTTGTCAGTGAGATCCTGTGGGCTCAGGGACCCAGGCAGGCAGCCACGTAAGGTCATGCACAGACAGAAGAAGCTGGACTGGAGGGAGGAGATAGAGCAGATGCTCAGAGACAAAGACAACTGAGAGAAAGGAAGCAGGATGAGCCGCTGCCAGGGCCACAAGCTCCTTAGGGCCCAGGTGTGATTCCTCAGTGTACAAGTCATCCCCATTTACTTAGCCTGAGTGCGTTTCTAGACCTGGCAACCGAATGCTCCCCCACCCTGAAATGAAATGGGGGTGGAGGGCAGAGAGTAAGGGAGCCTGGAGGACTTTTCCAGAGAAAGTAAATCTCAGAGTCTAAGTGTACGCACGCGATCCACACATTCCAAATTTAATGAGACAGCCCTGTTTCAAATGTGTCAGCTTGCCTAAATTTCTGTTTAGACAAATGTGGTGTATCTGTTTAAATATATCATCTCAGCACTGAGGAGGCCTGCCTGAGTAAGACACAAAGCTGGAAACCATAAAGACAAGAAAAGATTGACAGCTTAGACTACCCACTCCCGAATCTGCCTTCGATGGAAGACACCATGAACAGAATTAAAAGTGAAGGGACAGGTTGGATCTAGAGGACGGCTGGTGACCCTCTGCACACCACAGTCCCCCTCCTGCTGTAGCTCGGCTGCTAGTTGGGGCCGGGCCCTGGCTTCATGGCTGCCGTGACAACCTAGAGTGTCAAAGCTGTTGGCAGCAAGACCGTGACCTCTCGCTGTCCCACAATGAGGAAATGAAAGGGAAGAAAGAGGAAATGGGATAGAATGAAAAATGGATGAGAACAACAGAGAGGGAGCAAGAAACACTGAGAAAGATGAAAGAACTGAGCTGTCCCTCTCCCTTGCTCCTGGGCCCTCTCCTTTGTGCCGCCCCAGCGACACACTAACTCATCAAAGCTGTTGCAGTCTCGCTCACCGAACCGACATGAAACGAGCAGCCGTAACGGTGGCTCAGAATTCAAGCCCACGCCGTCTGAACCCAAGCCCGGGCTTGGACAGATTAAATCCATGAATTATCCAAAAGGCTTCCAAGTAGATCTTTTTTAGGTCTAACATTTCCTTCCCCTTCTTATCATTTCCTCTTCCCCTAAACAAAATTCCCTTTATTCTTACCACCCACTAGAGTGGAGAATTGAAATTAGGTCCTTTTAGCTTGCCAAGTGATAAACAGCTCTCTCGAACTAAGCCACATCTCATCTAGGGAGAGGGCAATAAAAATAGTGATTTATGTGGTCAAGAGTACAGTGAGACATTTTTATAGCATCGCAAATGGTTTTCCAAATTGCAGAGCAGCTTTATTTCTTTCTGTAG